AGTTCAATCACCATAGCAGAAGGGAGGCAAGAGACTTTAAGGGGAGCGGCAACAGAACAGGACATCTTCACTGGAGTGTCCCACATACGCAATGGGAGGATGTAACTATCCCCCTGTAATCACAAAACTGAATCAACATGGACCAAGAACTTGAAAAACTTGGGTCAAGTTAGAATGCAGACTAAACAGCATGAGGGCCAAGTCTACTACAAAGTCACCTTTGCTCAACAGCATAAAGTTACCTGCTGTGTAATGTGACAGCCATCATACTTAGCAACAAGGAAAACATCTCTGCGTGCCCTCTTCACAGAGAAGCCACAGTGGGCAGGAATTTCAGATAACGGCACTGGGCTCTCCTCACCTAGGGAACAGAAAACTCTGCTGTACAACACAGTTGAAACAGGACAACAGATCTTAAATCATTTAAAGTAGGACTGAAGATGCTTGTGCTTGTTCAATACTTTAAAAGAATAACATCTTCAATAATGTTTAAGCTGCCTTCATTCTACTTCTGGCACAAGAAGTTTACCATTTTAAAAGAGACTTCCAGCTAATTTTCTGCATGATTAAATCAGTACTACATGGACAAAAGCATTGTGTGTTTGATGAAATGCTATTCTAGAGAAACTTAGTCAGAATTGAGCACAATGGTGGCAACCAGAGAACCAAAGCATTTCATGTCTCAAATGCTACCATACAGACTTTTTATTATTATTATCCAATGCTTATTATTTTGGATATAGCCATTTTACCATTATCAACATCACAAGAGCTCAGACATAGGCTTGCTGGGCTTTTTTTGGACATTAAAGCAGAATTCCACCAATTTTCAAAACCAGGAGTCATAACCTCTGCAACACAAACAGCCAAAACAACCAGTCAATCTACACTGTGAGTTTTTGTGTAATGCCAATAATGGTAAAATAGGAGTAATCCCTATTTTGGCAGCATATTCGTAAGTTTGTTAGGCAGCTTTTAGAGGTATTAAACACTTCAGACGTCTGGTTCCTATCACCACCACAGTAAACAGTTCTGAATCAGTAAGTTTCTTTAGAATGGAGCACACCAAACCACTCTGAATTACTTAGTTTACACATTAATGATTTAATTGTAAAGATATTTTGAAAATTTGATGACAAGCAGCATCCATTTAGCCTTCATCGGCAAGGCCAATCCTCACCTCTCTCAACCAAGAAGTCAGGTACTCTCCGTCCCAGAAGGCGCAGAGTCATAGAGTCATTGTCACACCGTACAGAGGGCCTCAAGCGCTGCAGTTTTAGCTCTGCTAGCTGGTTCACTATTAACAGAATGGGAAAAAATTAATAATCACACAAAGATCGAGAACAAGGACAAGATCATTTAGGTGACTGCCTACTGTGTACTTTTACTGTAAGTACAAGGAAATGTTATAGTTTGTGCTCATTGACGTCTTTTTTTTTTAAATGACTAACAGTATAACAGTTAAGAATTATATGTTAACATGCTAAATAGTGTATGTAACAATATGCTTGAAAACATGAATGCATTCATTGACAACAATAAAGTAAAATAAATAAATATACAAAAAGTAAAAAAAAATCTTAGTCAATAGGGTTAACCTTTAATTCATACCATTTTTATATTCAAATCTTTACAAATTCTTAATGTTAAGTGCTTTTGAACTGTAAAAGCAACAAAAAAAAGTTCTGATTCATGTCATACTCAAAGTAGAGACACATTATATACTAAAAGTAACTTTGATAATCGACTACTGTATGTTAAAAGGCAGCAGATGGAGAGCATAAAAACCTAACCTGTTGCTTCAGGCTGATCAGCCTGGTATCTTTCAGAGTCTCCAGCAGCTTCATCGTGTAGCTTCGCTTCAAGATCACCCACCGTTTCATTTAAAATCCCCCTATTATGGTGGCCAACAACAAGGGTGCCGTATCGGATCACCTTGTTTGGTTCTCTAGGACCCGTGTCAAGGCAAAACGCTACGGAGCTCAGCGTCGCTGCCGCCATTAAGAGAAAGGGTTCGTGTTTCTTCCACGACATTTGCTCGTTGGGGTTAGTTTCTATGTCAGAACACAGCACGAAGGCCGCAGATGACGTAGATACGTTAGCTTATTGAGACTTGGACACCTGCATTCGAATCCGTATATAATGAATGGTTCTGTTTAATTGGGCCTAACCTCATTCATTAGGCTAACCTGTTATAGCAGTGCTTAACTCTGGTCCTGGATCTCTACCTTCCTGCAGAGTCTGGTTCTAACCACAATGTGCCGCACCTGCTCCAGCTAATTAACTGCTACTAATGTCCTGCAGGAAAGTAGAGCTGCAGGAGGAGGGTTGGTGACCACCGTGTTAAAGCAAGGAAAACGCCAAGACATGCTTACTGCCCGTAAGTTTATAGACACCAACGTTTCTTCTGAAATCAAGGCTATTAATAGTGAGTTTGTCCCTCCTTTGCCACAGTCTCTACTCCTATGAGAAGGTTTACAGTATAGGTTGAAGCATCGCTGTGAGGATTTGATTGCAGCCACAAGAGCATTACTGAGGATGGATGATTAGTTCTTGATCACAAATGTCACTGCAACTCATCCCAGAGGGATTGGATTGTGCTCCATCACACTCACTGCTACTCCACCCAGTGTTCGGGGTTTTGTACTCTTCTAACAAATGACTACCTGGTGACCATCCCATGACCATGTTCATGACCACCCCATACCAATTGTAATGCTTTTCTATTAAGATCATGCGAACATTGTGCACAACTGAACGTGTCAGCAATAAAGCTTAAAGGGAAACTCCACTCATTTTTCAAACTTTCTATATAATTACATGGTGAAGAATTACAAAGTAATTTGGAGTGGTTTTACGTGAAATACTACATTCCAGAGAATTCTAGTAAGGATTGTACACAGTGTTGCCTGATGCCTAATCATTGGTTTATAATAGTTTTAAAATCAGGTTTTGACCTAAAATGATTATTTTAATACATTCATGGTGGAGAGGTACATGTAAGATGTTCTAAGGTGTTATAGTATCTAGTGAAAACCTATTCTTTGAGATGTAAAACTATTTTACCATCACATTACATATAAAGACTCAGAAGACACTTGTAGGTTGACTGGCCATTTTAGATAGTAAATGAAATGCCTATATTTGCATTTTTGACATCGTGACCCCAGGTTCCTATAACCACCACTGTAAAGAAATCCTACTTGATGAGTTTCTCTGTAATGAACCGTTTCACATCAAACTACTCTAAGTGACTTGGTTTACATCTCAATGACTGAATTATGCAGAAATTTAAAAAAATCGGTGAAACTGCCGATTAAAGTGGATGAATTTACCAGTTAGAAGGACAGTCTGGACACTTTAATTTGGGCATATAGTGTAGCTAGTACACCAAATCACAGGCATTCTGTATTTGCAAATCCCAGTTCTAAATTATTTTTTAAAACTAGGCACAACACAAACTCTCCATTATGTATTTGTCTTTACTGATTTCACAACAAAGCCTATATTTTACTATAAAACTTTACATGCATTACTTTATAATGATATAAAAGTATACATACTGTTATGTTGATGTTATCAACCTGGATGTAATTTAACTGCAATGTTGTAAATGGACGTGGATGTTAGGTAACACTAGCATCAAGTTTTGTTATTTGAGTATAGACACTATTCATGGCTCAGCGACTGATGTGAACATACACTTTGTCTGCCTGTTGTAGAATTGAGATTTAACCTACTTTACTGTAGAATCCATACAGCTCAGATATATATATTTGTAAAAAAAAGTAGCTCAAATACAGTCATAGGCAAAGGTTTGGGCACCCTAGTCAAATTACGTTTTGTTGATATTCTGTGAAAATAAGTGAAATTAAATTCACATCCTTTACAGAAAACAAACATCTGCTTATTCTGAGGCACAATTACAGTTTATTGAATGTAACATAAAACACCATAACTTACCTTTAACTGGAACTAAGAATCTCAAACCCTGAAAAAGCAGCTCATACTATTATCTCTCCTCCACCAAACTTTATTGTTCAGTGTTAAAAAAATATGTAGCTTTTAAACCTAAAAAGTAAGTAACCATGTTAACTTAAAATAGTGCGTTCATTGAACTTTAATAAGTTAACAAATGCAAAACAAATTATTCTTCTGTTAACATATTATAATATATTACTGTAATGTTACAAGTTCAATGAACTCAGTATTTCAAGTTAACCTGGTTACTTACTTTTTAAGCTTAAAGGCTGCATACATTTATAGTATTTAGCACTATGCATTCCAGGAGGTAGTGTTCTCCTGGCATCTGCCAAACCCAGATGCACCTGTCAGACTGCCAGATAGTGAAGCATGATTCATCACCTTATAAAACATGCTGGAAATTGAAAGGTGATTTCTTGCATAGTAAAATAACATGGTAGCCCAGTGTTCTGCACTTCAGGAGTACAATACATCATTAAACACTGCTCTGAAATATTGGTCAAATCTAAACATCTCATAATTTTTTAAACAATTATCTGCAATAACTGGTATGATTCATACATCATGCATTCCCAGTATAATTTCTTTTGTATGATGAACGTGACTGATGCATCCAAGAAACAAAATTCTGACATTATGCTTACATTACATCTCTATTTAAATTCACAATAAACTCCAAAAGTCAAGTTGATAATAAAGATTTATGAAGCTTTGCTTGAATAAAATTCCTAAGAAACTCCTAATTCCTAAGAAACTTTGATTGCAAAACAATGAACAAAATAAAAAAAAGAAATTTACTTTGTAAAGTGCTCTTAAAACAAAATGTTTGTTTCACAATGTAGATGTATGCACATTGGTAGAATCATTTAGTAGTCTTTAGAATTGACCCATCAATCAGAATTGATGTACTGTTACTGCATACATGATCTTCATCACAAGATCTACATGAAAGCAACTAAGTCTCTGCTCAGTTGTAGAATCAAAGTGCAACACACAGCTAAGTGTCTAGGAGCAATTTAAAGATTAGTGATGTCATCCCCACTTGTGATGCTCATCCAGTCACCATCTTCATTAACTACTGGCATGGCTGAATTTCTCTCCCACAGCCTTCTCTCACTGGTAATGTCTAGAGGAAGGAAGGTTTGTGGATCCAACACTGCCACTTCAGGCTGCGACGCCGTCCTGAAGCGCTGGGGAGAGATGGGGCTTGAACCTGCATCTAGAGCCCATCTGTAGGCTATGTGGGTGGGCGTGTTCTGCGTTGCAAAATCACAACCAGGAGGTGCTGTGGAAACCTCACTCTGGGTCCAGGATGGAGGTGGAGGGGTGAAGAGGCTACCCATGCTGCCCAACAGGTGGCCGAAATTCAAGGCATTGTCAATGCTACGTCTAAGTTCGATGGGAGAGGGAGGGCACAGGTCAAATTCGATAAGAGACAAGACACAGTCACGCTCTTGCCATTCCAGACCATGAGACCACCGAGGAGCTGATTGAGAGTTGCTGTTATTAAAGGCTCCAGAACTAATATTGTCAGCATTGCTGTCCTTCACATTATCATCTGTTGTTGCTTCATACTTCCGAACCATGGAACACCTCAAATTTGCTCTGGATTGCTGGTACCCTGCCCAATTATTAGGCAACAGATCAGCCCAGGTGTGTTCCCGCCTCTTCCAGTGTCCTGCTGGTAATATTTTTTCTAAGCAGGATGCTAGAACTTCTCTCTCAGGTCTTCCAGAAGCCCCTTGACCTGTATCTCCTCTCCTGTGCCCTCCCCTAGGCCTCCAGAATGCCCGTGAACCCAGCAGCAGGAGCGAGAGGCTCCAGGATAGCTCAAGCAGACGTGCCCAGAATTGCCCAAGCCACCAGCCCCAGCCAAAGCGACGCCAGTCCCCAAGGAGCCCATAGAGCCAGAGCAGGCCATGGATCTGTAGAGCGCAGCACAGCACACCCAGGAGGGCACAAACGATTAGCACCCGCCTGGCACGTTCCTCAACCCTCTTGTAGGCTCCCCACCTTGGGATCGGGGTTCTGGTGGCAGGCCGAAGTGGAGTGAGAGCCCGGAAGAGAATTCCTAAACAGAGGGGTAAACCCCAGCAGATCGAGAGCGTCTGCAGCATTAAGGGCAGCGCTGGAGACAGAGTGTGGGACAAGAGGTCAGCCACCAGAAGGGAAGCACAATGCAAAGCTGCTAGACCGCCGGTTACATGGGGGCGCTGAAGAGCAGGAGTCAGGAGGTTGAGCGTCGTTCCTTTCAATGCTAGCAGGGCTAGGGTGATCTGTGCCCACAGCAGCAGGGCAAGTGGTAAGTTATACAGTGCAGCAAGGACTGGACGAGGCAGAATATGCTTTGTGCCATATGGGTCAACTATGAATTGAACAAATCTGAGCAAACCTGCAAGGAGCAACAAGGTGTTAGCCAAAATAAGGGGTCCACAAAAGGGGTGGTGTGTGCCAACTCCACCTGTCACTCCCCAGATAGCCCAGCACACCACTAACAGGAAAAGTATGGCAGAGCCAAAGACGTGGAGCTCCCAGGCAAACGCCAGAGTGCGACGCAAGTCCTCCCACTGCAGGAGAGTGCCATTGGGGCTTGTAGGAAACACACAGGGGCCTATACCCAGCACACATGGATCTGAGATGTCAGACAGCCCTTTTTCTGTGATTGGACCAAATATTCCACCAAACCATTTTGATTTGTCATCATCTGAGATATTAGAGAGAGAGAGAGAGAGAGAGAGAGGGAGAGAGAGAGAGATTCTTAAAGCAGTGGTTTGGACAAAACCTGGTTTATACAATTCTCTCCTTACCACAAATGTAGTGAGTCAGTCAAGATGTGTTTCTTAAGTTTGCTTCTTTAGTTTTGCACTTGAGCTATAAGGCTAATGTAGTTACTAATTAATGAAAGCTTCTAGGAACCTGTTGGCATTGTTCAAACTATTAAATTAATTAACTATTAATGTAAGTTATTAAGTAATCTCAAATAGACTTTCTTATGTGTTTTAGATACTCTGACACACTGTGACTAAACAAATTGACAAAAGTATGTTGTATAGCAGTTAACAGTAGCAGCAGCCATCCTGAGGCCTAAATAAATGTTGCATTAGACTTATAGTTCCAGTATAAAACTAAAGCAGCAAACTTGGGACACCAGATGTCTTGGGTAATCAACAACATTTAGACTGAAACTGTGCAAATTTGATTTTGCTTGAAAATCGTATGCATTTCAATTGTTGCTATCCAGCATTCTTAAAAAAGAAGAGAAGCCACAGAAGAACTACTTTTGGTTCCCTAAAGAACCATGTTTGAAAAAGAGATTTGTGAATGTGAAGAACCTTGAAAAGCTGTAAAGAACTTTCACATAATGTAAAGTTTCTATGCCAGTTTATGGGTTTTTAACATCTTTAAAGGGACCCAATTGTGGTTCTTCTATTGCATTGCACAAAGAAACCTTCTTGACACCTTTATTTTTAAGAGTGAAGAACAAGACAGTAAACTAATGAAACTGACTATTCCATATACCGCATATGCATATACAGCTACAGCATCAATAATACATTACCTGCTATGTAAAGGGCCCACTTTTAAACATAGGTTTGGGTTTATGTGACAAAAACTTGATTCATGACCATTTTTCAAACTTTCTTTATCATTAATTCATGGAATTAAAGAGACTGTTTTGTTACTGTAGCTTTAAGATAGAAATATGTAAATGATCTCTCTTCTGATTGGTTGCCTTGTTTTATGCCTTATTCAAAAAGCAGTCTGTCCTGAAGCACTTTTTATAGCTTCAATGTAAATGTGTGAAGCTAAACTATTATAGACTCAATAGGTATATATATGTACATATGTTTGTTTTTGTGACATCACAAAAATAGCGAATTTAAAACACGCTCTTTTAGTAGCATAGTTTCCATAAATGGACTGTGTGGTATGTTTTGAACCATTAACAATGTTGGGATACCAAATCAATCTTTTTTAGTTTCAAAAAAGGCATGGAAAATTGGGCAATTTATGCAATATGGGCCATATAAAACATAGATGAACTTATTACCTCTACCGTTTTCTTCACCTGACACCACTGATTGATTAGTTGGCTTTGAGGATGATGACAGTGGAGGTGTTTGGGCATCAGAAATGGTCTTCTCAGAAATCCCTTTAGCTGAAACACACACAAAAAAATCTATTGACCACCAGTTTGGGTCTTGAAGATTTACACATTTCCGGTAACAAAGAGCTGGCACTTACCTGTCTGTATAGTTTTAGTGTCCACTGGTGATAGTTCTGCTGCCTCTTGCCTGTTTTCCTCATTTAGAGATTCAGATGGTTCTAGCAATTTACTGATCATATCAGATGTTTGGGTAGCAATGAACTGAACTTCAGGATTGGACATGCTGCCTGAGGCTTCAAGTCCAGCTTTAAGTGTGGACACTTTGTCCTCTGTGGCATCTTCTGTAGAAACAGTTCCCATGTCATTTAATAAGCCATCTACAGCAGGAATTTGTAAGAGTGTACCAAATGTGGTAACTTCCTTTTCTGTAGCTGTTTCTGCTGTCGAGATTGAAAGGTTAACGTTTTTATTGTTTTCATTGATGATCGGTTTGGTGTTGGCTGGTGTGGTGGACTGAACAGGCAATGCAGATGTGGCTTGTGGAAATTCAACATAACTTCTTTTCATTATCATTATACCGTGATCATCATCATGGATAATCCTTTGCGTGAGCTTTTGTGCAACAGCAGGGGGAGGAGGTGCGTCTGTTATGCTTTCCTCCAAACCTCTCTTCTCTTCAACATCTAGGATGAACATGTTAATCTCCAACACGCCAGTAGATGGTGCCTTCCCCCCGTTTCCCTCCATGCTCTCTTGCAACCCACTTCCTTCTCCAGAGCCTTCAATATTTGGATGAAGGAGCAGTAACAAATCATTGGAGAGCCCTTTAACTTCTCTGTCAGGCCAGCGAGCTGGTAGAAGAGTCTCCTGAGTATCTTCTGTGGTGGTCAAGGTTGGGCCTATCTTGCTTTGACCTGAGAGCTTCTTTAAGTCTGGGCTGCCTGCTGTTTGAACAAATGCAGCAGCAGCTTGCTGGAGCAGAGACAATCCTAACACCAGAACTAGGAGCCAAGCTGTTGAGCTGTGGAGGTTTCTGAAGGCAGCCATATCCTAAGGTTCTGTGGAAAGACACATAAATTGTACATGACTTTTGAATTCATAATTATTTGAGGATATGTGGATTCCTTAAACCTTAAAAAGGGTCTTCACACCTGCACACCATTTTTATAAAAAAAAAAAAGTGCTTTAAAGAACCACCCCCCATTGACAGGTTCTTTAGGGCAGTGATTCTCAAACCAGTCCTCAGAAACCTCTAGAGGGTCCACATTTTTTTATCTATCCTTAGGCATTGAAAGTTGGGTTAAAGCAGACAACATGGAGGCCACTTGAGAGCCAGTTTGACAAACACTGCTTTAAGAAACCAAATTGGTTTTTCTATGGCATCACTCCAGAGATCCTTATTAATTATAAATAATAATAATTATTATTATTAATTATTAATCATGAACTGCATCCTTGCTGCAAATCTGCTGATCTTCCCACATGCCGGCATCAGATACAATTCAATATACAAAATTAGAAAACATAATGATAAAATGGCAGGCAAGATGTTTTACTCAGTCCTACTTCTCTGACTTTAATTTGTGAAATTCTGGAGGAACGCTACAAGACCTACAATACCTTCAGCCAGATATGAAGACTGTTTGGCTAGATGGGTACCAAAACAGATGCAAGAGAAAACTCAATCTATAAATCAATCTATATCAGATATATTAACGACGATACTAGCATTTTCAGTCCTGAACACTCACCTGAAGATTTGGCAGCCCCCACCGACAATTGTAGAACTCCTCAAAATGCAAATCAGTCCTTAACAGTCTGTGAAAAGCCCGAGATCAGACACTGAGTGATGCCCGAATATGACATGTCACAGTGTCTGCCCCTGAGCTGATGCTTAGATCGAAGTCCCTCTGACGTTGTGCCATAATCTTTCCACCATCTGGTTCATGTTTTGTGTGATCATCTTTGGTGGGTGCCCTAGTATCAGCTCCTGCAATGTAGGTTAACAAACGTCAGGTGCTGCAGCATATAATATCTTGAAGAGAGACAAACTGGAACAGCAAAGGATAGTGAGTTGTAGTGCCCAACAAATGCAGGCATTCTCTTCTCCTCGTCTTCTTTATCTCTTGCTTTCTGATCTGTTCACAGCTGCAGAAAGCTAATCTCCTCAGTTTAAAGGATTTCTTTAAGACCATTAGCTTTGCACTTCGCCAGCCTGCCCACACAAAGCATGACAAAGCACAGACTGTGGCATTTTATTTTTTTGCATCTTTTATGACTACTGTTATTTTATGGGCCTTGGTATATCTGCTCTATGTCCTCTATGGTGGCCTACGAAAGTGTTGCTACTGTACATTATTCTTACTCATAGTTCATGCTATTCTTATAGTGCATGCTAATCAATATGCTAAGCTGCAATGACAAAACGTAATGATTATGAATGCATCTGAATAGCTTGTGCTTAATTTATTAGAAAGTGCTGCAGTCTATTGACAGTCAATCTCATTGATACAGTCTTACCAAATAGAGCTTAAAAGTGATGGCTGTTTCCCACAAGTGAGTTCATGTAATGGATTTACCCAGATCATGTTTGACTGTGTCACGTTCACAAGCAAGCACATGCACAGTTGCATAGTAACACCTCTCTACACTAGAAAAAAACAACTTTCAGGGTACAAATGCTGCCACTGGTGTGCTACCTCAGCACTTTTAGTTAAATGGGCATGTTAGCCAAAATGAAAAATGAAACCAGCATTATATCTCATCATCATCATCATCATCATCATCACTTTTATTTATATAGCGCCTTTCCCATGCTCAAGGATGCTTTACAATCAAAGAGCATCAACACATTAAACAAAAGGACAATACAGGTAAGCATTCAAGTATAAACGGAACAACGATAACACAGTGAAAACAGGTACGTCTTTAACAGAGATTTATATGAAGACAGAGAGGTTGCATCCCGAATAGACTGTGAGAGAGTATTCCATAACTTGGGAGCTACTACATTAAATGATCGAGCACCCATAGAAGCCAATTTAAATCTAGGAACATGAATTAGGCCTAGGTTTTGAGATCTCAAGGTACGGGATGGGACATATAGATGAAGAAGCTCTGCCAAGTATTGAGGAGCCAGACTGTGCAGAGCTTTATACGTTATAAGGAGAACTTTGTACTGAATACGGAATGTAATGGGCAACCAGTGAAGACTCTGAAGAACAGGGGTGATGTGGTCGTTCTTTTTAGAAAAGGTGACGATCCTAGCAGCAGCATTTTGAACATACTGTAACCTAGTGAGGATTTTGACAGGGAGGCCAGAAAAAAGAACATTGCAGTAGTCTAACTGTGATGTCACTAATGCATGCACAAGTGTTTCTACATTGGCTTGGCTGAGAAATGGTCAGAGGCGAGAAATATTGCGAAGATGGAAAAATACTGTCTTAACAACGGAATTGATGTGGATATCTGTCGTATATGCCTGCTCGTTGGCACAATAGTTAGCAAATTTTCTGGTTTAAAGACTCAGAAAATCCACTTCTGATGATGCATCTTGAAGGTAGAGTACGTTTAAAAAACTACAAGTGCTTTGGGGGTGAATATTTGAGGGCAGGTTGATTGATTTTTTTTTCCCACCAGCTGGCTAATGCAGAAAAAAGGCCAGACAGTAGGGTTACTGCAAATTTTTGGTTATACAATGTATAAATTGTGAATTTGGTCAAACCAGTGATGCAATCCTGGGCTAAAGAATATGGCAAAATGCAACAAATAATATATTAGATGCTAATTTTAGGTAGGAATGCCACCTTAAGGAACATAAGTGTATAATATTTTGTTGCAGTTTATTATTATTAATTTTTGGAGTTGAAATGACTCCTTACAGCCTCTTTTGACTTTTATTTTATTTTTCTATTTTAAAAAAGTACAAATTTGTATCTTTCCCCTGGAAAAAATAATTTAATGTACCCTTAAATTTAACTAAAGATGCACATTTATATCTGAAGCACCAATGTTGTACCTTTCAGGGTACACTTACATACATAAAATATACCCACATCACCCCTTTTTTCTGACAGTGTACCATTTATGCAATGCCTGAATGTAAATATAGGTGAGATGCAAATGAAAATGTGCTACAATTCTACATAAAATGTTCATAAATTCTCGTCAAGTTATGGAACGTCAGCTCTCCTTTACGTGCTGTGAAAGAGAACAATATAGCGATAAAATTAGTAAAGGACAAAATTGTTTTGTGGGCAGCAATGATGAAAACCCGTGTATTTCGGAAGTCCCCGGTGTAGCTGTATAAGGGTATCAATGACAAAATTTCTGGTCGGGGTCATTGTAGGGTTAAGGGATAGACCGTGGGAATTAACTCTTTCCTAGGCCGCGCTAGTCAGACGGAGTGCACTTGTATTACGCATCTCCGTCGGTCCACCTTAAGAGCTCAGTCAGGCAGCGCTTTGCAGCGCGAGCAGGGGGAGGCCCTCACACACACATGCCTAGCGCTTTAAGGCGGACTGGAGCAAATACAGCCCCACTTAAAGGCACATGCACGCCAAAATTAGGTAAACAACGGGCTTCTGCGAATCGCACTCAGATGAACAAAATGAAAAAATATGTGTGTTATTCGACTCAATATGCATTCGGCGCGATGAAGAACGATAAAAATCGCCGTTTTACTAAGCAAAAAGTTAGAAATGGTAATGTTATGGATGGTATCCTGCTGTGGACCGAATACAAACGAAGCAATACAGACTCCTGAGGACTGAATAGAGCTTAGAAATTGACTGAATATAGAAAAATTATATGGACCTCTGTACATTAAAGTGGCACAAATGGCATTAACACAAATTAACCCAATTCAAACGTTTGCTGAACTCAAGCCACTAATAACTCAGTGGATAGAAATCTACATACACAGCAGTGAATTTATTTCCATGTTTTGTGCAACACAAAGCGATAGTGTGTGGTAAATTTAAGAGATGTAAGTTAAAAGTAGGCTTGTTTAGTGTGTGGAGCTGTGTTTTGGGGCAGCAGTGCAGCCTGAAGAGGGAGCTGCAGCCCCTTCTCCGCCTCCACTGAAGCGGCGCTCTCCAAACACCACAGTCCGAGGTCCCGCACTCTCTCACAGGAGGCCTACTTCCGTCAGCCCGCCGCTCTTAAAAACATATATTTGTAAAAATTATAAATATATCGGTCCTCTACCCCGTCAAGCGACTCGAGGAGCGCGTTTCTCCGTTTCCTAATACGGTAGGACTCTCCGCAGACGAGCCGGTGGTGCGTTTTAACGGTTTTAACGGTGTGAATAATGTGGAGCTGTAACAATCACACGTCACGTCATTTATTTGGTATTGTTTGCTGCACCCGAAATAAGAGAAGAAATAAAACGGCTTTGGAGCGGTTATAACTCTGTATTTCGCCTAGGATACCCGTTACATGTGCGGTGTGGGAAATACAGTCGGGCTTTGGTGGGGTTTTATTTTTTGAACGGCGTGTTTTGGCGGAAATTGGTTTTGGTTTTATTTAAGGTAGCATGGCAGGGATGCACGGCCGATGCTAGTTAGTACGCTAACGTTAGCCAGCCAGCTAACCTAAATATCTGTGTGCGCTCTTTTGGTGACAGTGTAGCTAGGAAGATATGTCACATATGAACATTTATTTGTTTTTTAAAACACAAACGCACAGTACGAATAAGTCCTGCAGCTTGTGGGCTTTATTTAGGTTTTACTTTAGCTGTTAGCTAGCTAGCCTAAAAGCTAGCTAATATTGTACCGCAGCTGCTTTGTAGCTTTGCTGGTCTGACATAGGCATCAAACATTAGAGCTTTTTCGTATTGGCGATGTGTTATTAGACATTACTCATATAAAAGAGCTTTAAGGATACTAGGTGAAGTTATGGGTTTGAAACATTCGGCTTTCCAGCCTTTCAACGGGGAGGTTAAGGGGACTCCAAGGGAGGACCAGGCTTAATTGGCTCCTTGCACCCTATATAGTGCACTACCATAAATCATGGAATAATGACTTTTACATCTACGTGATGCATAATCTGTTCAAAAAGGAATCGTTTTGAATCTTGCCGTCCTGGTCCCTATATAGTGCACTTTATATGTCATTAAAAAGGGCTTCTACACCCAAATAGTGCATGATGTTTCCAATGAGGAGCCATGTAGGATTCAGTCTCAGTTTGGTTACAAGCCAGAACAGACAGTGTGGTCCAAAGTGCAGCACAGTTAGAGGCTGCTTTTTCCTCCCTCTTTGCTCTTTGCTCTTTTTAAAGGCTGAGCACATCTTCCTAAAACAAAGATAGTTTGCTTGCTGTGAAATCTTGAGATTGCACTGTTCAATATAATAGAATATGTTACAGATTTTACAGGAGAATGTATATTTGGTTGTCTTTAAAAGTGGCGGAAGTTGAATATTTAATTACGGATCAATGAGATAAAGAAACTAATATTGCTTAATGGCACTTAGTGAATAATCTTGGATAATGCATCAGAAAAAGTGCTGAGCTGGAAAATCTATTACTATTTTTATTTCTTTACAAACCAATGGAGCCTCTCATAAGACCAGAATCAAGCCATCTGTGTATGTCTACTGGAAAACGGCACTTAGCATGCCTTTTACATGTTTGTCCCAAGAGTGTCAAGTTATCACTTCAGTGCTATGGTCTAATAGTATGCACGTGTCCTGATTTTAAACTCCTCCTGATTCCTTTTTTAGGCTTCTGTCAGCGCAAGGTGGATTGACCTGTCATGAATGAGCCGATCGAAGGCGGTGCGATCTCGTTTGACGAGTATGTGCGGCAGAAGGCACGGACCGTGCCTCAGCACCGCATGAAGGAGTTTCTGGAATCACTGGCCGCCAAAGGGCCCGAAGTCCTGCAGGAGTTTAGCCAGCAGACCAGTGGCACTACCACCACCATGGTCTACCAGCAGGGGGCTAACTGCATCTACACTGACAGCACAGAGGTGGCAGGATCATTGCTGGAGCTGGCATGCCCAGTAAGAGAGAGAACCGTTCTGAATTCTGGTTTTAAAAGCTGCTTAAGATGTGCAGTTTTTGAAATTTGGTATACTTGGTATTTTTCACCATTACCTCCACCTTAATATAGACTATTTCAGGATATAAACTGTCCAGTATATGGCTCAATAGAATGCAAGTCATAAATGTTGGTTACTAGTCACTAGTGTTGGTTAGTATGATTATATTTATTGTTATCACGTTATCACAGTATGTTTTTTGAGCATATTGTGGATAATGGTAGTACATAACTTACTAGCTGCATGTTTTATTACAAACAGAGCAAAATTAGTTCTGTAACTGGGTATATTTGGAACTAATGCTGCACAGTATGTGAAACATTTAATATTAATCATTGTCTTAATAGTTTTGATAGTATTTTTTTAAATGGCACTTTGTTTTTTTAAATGTACACTAATGGTTCCATGTTTGTTTCAATTACTCAAACCCAAAAAAGAAAAATATCGTGATGTATGTTCTGTATCAAGAAAATGTTTTGAAGTATCATGATATATTTTTGCCATATCACCAACCCTTAGGTACTGCCAAGGTTATGGTAGAAGTACTGGAGTGGCTCCGAAAAGCATGAGTTGGTAATCTTGTTGATTTTGTGCTTGTCCAGGTGCAGGTGACATCAACACAGATCTCACCACAGCTGGCTGCAGCCGTGCAGCAGGCATCAGAGCAGCAAATTCAAGTCCAGGTCAGAACTGCACCACTGCCCTCACTCTCACAAACCTTCCATACCACAGTGCTTATAAGTGCAGGATGATACTGTACATGCCTGAACTGGCCTGATACAGAAAGGGCTGATTTGATTTGCTGTTCTAGTCTGTGAGGCCAGAGATTTAATCCATGTCCACTTTTTTTTTGTGTTTCTGGACATCTCCTTCTTTTACACACTTTATTTTTCTCCCTTCCCCAGGTGCAGATTCAAGGTGAGCAAGGTCAGACAGTTGGTCAGGTGCTGCAGGTGGCTTCTCCTACCCAGCAGCAGCTACAAGGAGTCACTACAACACAGCTGGTGCAGCAGGGGGAGCTTACAGAGGAACAGCAGCAACAGGTACACACAGATGTTTATAAATATGTTTATACATAAAAAGTAGTAGAAATTGCCAAGCCTTGGTATTTACACACAGAGTGTAGTTAAAATACATAATGTCTGTTTTTATGCAGTCCTATAGTAGTGTTATTTCTTGGAGGCAACCTTTGAAGTTTTTGACACAAGCGTTAATAGGCTTTTGGTCGTGTGCCCAGGTATTTTTAAGTGTACATTTTACACAGAAGGTCTGTTTCAACAAACATGATTTAGCTTAAGATTAGCCATTGCTTCTGATATTTTGAGAACTCTAATTTGCCCGTATATGTTTGTCAGTTATTGTAATATCATGGGATGAGTATTTTGGCTTGCTTATGGTGTGTGAACAATCTATGTGTAAATTATCTTAGACTGGTGGTTCTTAATCTTAGTCGTGAAGTACGAATGCTATGGATGTTGTGATGATGTAGTTCACCTTAGCAAGGTTCATTAGTCATTAGTTGCATCAGGTATGTTGGAAGCAGGGGAGACTCTATAATGTACAGCATCAGAACAGATAACCACTGACATAGACATAATGTGTTATAAATATAAGGCTGATTTCCCAGACACAAATTTAAAAGGTAACATTTGTTAAGATGGATGTAGCCTAGGCTTGTGGGGCCAGACATGATTTCATAACGCAAATCTTTGTTTGGGAACAACTTGTTAAACTTTTTATGCTGAATTGTGATGAAATCAGCTGCTAACAAGGGTATACCCCCACCTGCAAATTCCTATAGTGTGTGCTCTCAAGGTCCAGAGTGCAGTCAATAACACAAGTGAAGCAAGTTAGCTAGCAAACAGTGTTGGCAGATCTACATGCTTATTTGGAGTCTTTTTTTGTTGGTAGACTTTTTTGTTCATGCTAACTTATGTTACATCCATGGGCTAAAAATAGACATGTCTGTCAGACAGTGTTGAACACATCACCCCCTACATTGAGTTCTGCCAGAGGGGCCTTGCCTTCACCAAGAGTTTAACTGGTTTAGAAATTTTACACTTAGTTTGTTCCCAACCACATTTGGCCCAAAATTTTCATACGTTCCCCATATGTTCTCCTTACGAGATTTACATTTCGTCCTGCGACACTAGACGTAGGTTAGACCAAAAGCCATTTCAGTACCAAAACACCATTGGTAAAGCAATTTAGTCCAAGTCTAGGCTTTATCCTAGTTGACATTCTGTAGTCAGGAACATGAATATGAATGTAAATATACATATTGCACATGCTAATAGGAGGGAATGTATGAATATATCCTGTGCTGTTGTCTCAGATCCAGGCGCAGCTGGTGGCAGCGGTAGCTGGAGGTCAGCAGATCCAGATTCAGACGGTGGAGGCACTGTCTCCCCCCCAGCAGCAGGGTTCTCCACGTGAAGCTGAGCGCAGACCGGGGGCCTCACCGGCAGTCCTGCAGCCAGCCAAGAAGCGCAAGGTGGATGTACCCACTGTGGTGTCATACTCTCTTCCCCAGGGCCAGCAGCTGGCCACAGTGCTGGCCATTCCACAAGGCCAACAGCAGGGCTACCTGTCGCTCCGGCCTGACCTGCTGACAGTTGACAGCACTCATCTGTACAGTGCCACTGGCACTATCACGGGACCAGCAGGCGAGACCTGGACCATCCCGGTGTATTCGGCTCCTCAGCAGCAGGGCGTGACTCACATCGCCATCCCCCAGGAGTACAGCACAGTACAGGTGCAGGCCTCGCCCGCCCCACAGGATAAAGATAAGGACAAGATTGCGGCCCAGGCGGCTGGTGCGGTCGCTGTACCTGTGTCTGGTGCAGGAGTGACCACACAGGAGGAAGTGGTGCACTCGTTGTTCCCAGCACAGTTTATGAATGGAAACATCCACATCCCGGTAGCGGTACAGACCGTAGGAGGAGGATACTCGGGCACCACCCAGGCCCTGCACATATGGGACCCACAGCAGCAGCAGCATGGCCAAGAGGCTGAGGCTCAGGAACAGCAGCTCCACCTACAGGTTAGTCTGTGCTTTTGATTGGAAGCAGGAGTGTGTTGATCAGATGTGTGTTTGGACAGTCCTCATAAACCAAAGAATTTATGAGCTTCTTGCCACAAGGAACCTATCAAATGGCAGACAGTTGTAAATCCAATTGGTAAACTTAGGAGTTCCAGGTTACTAGAGTTGGAGTTCATCTGCCATTAGCACCTAGTATCATTGTCTGACTAAGCTGGAAAACAATGTACAAAGTTAAACTTAATCGTTAATCGTTATGTATGTCAGTCTTTCAGAAAGTCACAACAAACAACAACATTTCTGCCTGGCTTCCATTGTGTTCCATTCTATTGAGCAACCAGCAGTATCATTTCTCCATCCCAGAAGTCAAACAACAGCTAGTTAAGATTTGATTGATGAGAACTTTACAATACCAACCTTATTTGAATACCCAAATACGTAAGAAGAAAATAGAGATGAGTTTCATTGGATTATTTGCACAGGTCACTAATTGTTTGTAGTCTTACCACTGAAAGAGATTTGATGCCCTTACTGACTACCTCATTGATTCCTTCTCCCCACAGGCAGAGGCAGAACCACAAGCTGAAGCTCCTCCTGAGTTGCTCCTTCCAAACTCCCTAAAACCAGAAGAAGGTCTAGAGACTTGGAGGCTTTGGGTACAACGCAAAAACGCAGAGCTAGATAAGAATGAACAGAACAAACTAGCACCAATCGGCCGTAAGTCCCTCTTCTTTCCGTATTTGCATTGATTTTTAAAGTCATCGTTTAAAATAGTAATTTTGTATGTTTATTTGTATTGTTGTTTCTGTTGTGGTTTTCTGTTTCTGTTGTGATTTCCCTTCTTCTGTCTTCACAGGCCGTCAGCCGCTGCGTTTCCGAGAGGACCTGATCTCCAGCTCAGTAGGCGAGCTCAATGTAGCTCTGGCCCTGATGACCCTGGAAGCTCGTGGCTTAGAGGGGGAGCCATTTGAACCCGACGCACTCTATTACGTTTTCTTATGCATACAGAAAGTATGTTGTCTCTGCTTCTTTTCACCATTTTGTAATTTAAAAAATTTTGTTTTTTAAACAAGCACTGTTTTATTCAGTTTGTTGAAGCTTATTCATGTTTTGTCTAGCATGTGATTTCTGACTGTGTTTTCTGGGTAGTATATGTTTGAGAACGGCAGAGTGGATGACATTTTTTCGGATCAGTACTACACTCGCTTCTCGCAGTGCTTACACAAAATACTGGAGGAGTGGAGGCCAAGTATCCATCCGCTAGGTAAGCAGTGCTCAAGCATTGTAAGTGTTCTGAAAGAAAAGTTTAGTTTCTGGGAAGTTTTGCACGTGTAGTTACGAGACTGAAAATGTACCTGACTGAAAGTTGTGTTTGCTTCTTGTGCCAGGTTATATTATTCCCAGTCATGTGACAGAGGAGATGTTGTGGGAGTGTAAACAGCTAGGTGCACATTCTCCTTCAACTCTACTCACTACACTAATGTACTTCAACACCAAGTAAGTCATTGTCTTTCTCTCTTGTTTATGGTGAGCCTCTGCCCAATCCATTATTTAGGTTTCCAGTATCCACACGTTTTGTGTTACATCCATGTTTTGTTTGGTCTTTGCTTAATTTTAGCTTGTCCTTTCTTTCTCTACACTTTCTATGATGTTGAATGTTCTATGATGCAACGTTACCCAGTTATTTAAATTATGAAACATGAATACAGAAGGTAGACTAAATGCAGCTATCTGTTGTTCAGGTACTTCCACCTTACCACGGTAGAGCAGCATATGAAAGTGGCCTTCTCCAAAGTGCTACGACACACAAAGAAGAACCCAGCCAATCCGAAAGACAAGAGCACCAGCATCCGTTACCTAAAGGGCGTAGGTTCTCATCATGTTGGACAGAAAGGTGCGAAAGACCCTATTTTGTGTCTGGGTACTTCGTTTTGAGTTAAGCAAATGCAGCAACCTTTATTTCAGATCATAAATTATCATAGTTTCTCCTCTGTTTAAGATGAAGGTGAATAGAACTTTATTCTTTGTGGGCTCTATTTTTCCATAGTGACGGATGACATGTACGCGGAGCAAGCTGAGGATCCAGAGAATCCACTTCGATGCCCTGTCAAACTCTACGACTTTTACCTCTTCAAATGGTGAGCTTCTGCCCAATCCATCATTTAGGTTTCCAAATTCCATACACGTTTTGTTTTTCTGTCTCTAATTTTGACATGACACCACTTTCCATGTGGCGAATGTTAAAAGAGCAGCGATGTCTTAGAAAGAAATCGTGTGTGGGAGCATATTAAATTATCAAATGCAAAGCAAAATGCTCAGTGTATGCAAAATTTATATTAAAAGGATGGTAAACATGGAGAAATGGCAAGTTTGGTTAATTCTCAGTTAATAAAATCTGCCATTCAGTACTCAAAATATGTAATTATAGCAATCCTTATCCGAGTACCGCCATGTGCCCAGTCCACACTCCTGACACAGAACCATTTCAGGTGGGAATATTAGCTTCTTTTCTCTCTTTCTAAATTAAATAGTTTGACAGCAGGTTTAAAATTTGACCGCACAAAACTGTGAATCTGTTTTTCAATTAAATCATAAGTTTTACCTCTGTATCAAAAAAGAGTGACCACCTATCTAAATATAGTTTAGAACACTATCAAAAGTGGTATTTTGACTGAGTTTGTTTTACTCACAAGGAAGTGGGGAAAAAAAAAACAGAACTTGTTTGGAAATATCAGTGAATATTTGAAGCCTGTAAAATGCTGTATGGCATGCAATTATTTGAAATGTCTTATGGTGAGAGGTTCAAATAAAAAATTGAAATGTGATTTAATAGAATTGGTTTTGAACGTGAAGACGTATTGGATATGCATGAGGATATGTCTCACCTCTCTGAATGCATTCTCCTTTATCTCTTTGCTTGCCATGTCTGTTCAGCCCCCAGATTGCCAAAGGCCGGAACGACACTTATTACCTGACACCAGAGCCCGTCGTGGCCCCGAACAGCCCCATATGGTACTCGACCCAGCCAATCACGAGCGAGCAACTGGAACACATGCTTACACGCATCATGATGGTGCGGGAAATCCAGGAAATAATCTCCATTGCACAGGCCAACATTCAGTGAGGGAGTACAAGAAAGAAGGAGAAAGAGATGGTGAATGGAGACTGTTTCTGCCTCTGAGCTCCTCCGTCCTTGCAGCTTCTCCGTGACTGTCGCTCACACAAAGGAGGGAATCTTGAACCATTGCTGGCTCCTTGCGCTCTGTATTTACTCACGAGCTGAAGCGGCAGACAGGTAGCGGTACAGAGGAGGCAATATTGAATTCCATAAACTATCTACATATGCTCCATAAATTAGTGTTTTGAATAGTTGCACATGCGCATTGCAGGGCCAGTGCATGGTCTTTGTTTTGAAAGAACTTTCAAAACTGTTACTGATGGGGGAGTAAATTCAAGCGTCTGCCTTTCAAGAGTGTACAGACCGATAGTTAACCCAGAAGATAAGAGCATTAGCATCGTCTTCTTGGAATACCATCTGATAAATTTAGCCAGGCATCCTTTTTTTCTTTGCTGTCCATGTCCACAGTAATGTAGTTCTAAAATGGTTATGAGTTCAAAGATTGCAATAACGTGGTAGTTATGATACTTCATTGGCTAAAAGGAGCCTGATTAGCAGGACATTTGTTTGCCCTTTATAGATTGTGTAGTACTTCTTCGAGCCCATAAACAGCAGTGACTTGCACTGCGGGCTTGATATTTCCTCAAGTTGTTGCGATTGGCACTACGGTTATAAAAAAACAGCTTGCAAACTGAGATTATGGTGCAAACCATTAATTTTATATGCTGACTCATTAAACTTCCAGTTTTTCCTTTTTGTTTCATTTGCCTCCTCTGCCAGGCTGCTGCTGGAGTGTGCGCAGAGCTTCAGTGGAGGACTGGACTTGGACTTATGAGCCTTTTTATTTTATAATAAAAATTTACTCTGTTCATGTGATGGCCGCCAGAGTTACACAGTCTAACCTCTTAATGCGTGATTTCTCTTTTTCTTGTGGCTCTGTCAAGTATGTAGCTCTCCGTCTCGCCCCAGTCCTCCTCTTACATCATTCATTTTCTCCCGACTGTTCATTCATTAGGAGCATATAATACTGAAATTAGACTGGGGTCATTGCTGCAAGGCCTTATGGGGCAGCAAAACACAGGGCAGTCGCATGAATGCGCAAACCATGGCGTCATCTTCCCGTAACCCCCTACGCTGACCACATCCCCAAACTAGGACTTGGCAGGAGCACAGTCAACACACTTTGAGGAGTGTACTCTACATGGAAAGACTCTAATTTTTTTTGTTTTTGTTTTTTTTTTTATTTTTATATATGCATCTATGGTAATCTGATATGTATTGATATAGTGGTGCTGGAGACTGAAAAATTGGAGCCTGTGTTTTCGAACATGCCTTTTGTACAGTGAGGTCCCTGTAACTGTGTGTTGTGTCTTCTTTGACTCATTCAGTTGTATTTTTATGGGGAAGATTATTGCTTTGAAAAAATTCAAGGCAAAGTAATTGCTTGTGAAAGCCTGTTTACTGTTTTTATTAAATACTTGTAGATAGACAAATATAATTTACACAAATATAACAACAACTCTGTAAAGACGTTGGGACCCATGTATAAAGCAGCCCCAGACTATTAGGACGCAGTTGTTTTTATTTATTTATTTTTTTTGTTTTAGCTTAGCTCCGTCTCAGTTGTATACTAAACACTAATTTGATCAGGTATGTAATGTGTACTAATCTTGAGATGCAGGCTAGTACACAAAATATTAACATACTTCACAGTATTGTACTAATAGGAAGGGATGAAGTCATGTATTTAGCTGCAACCTTAGGCTACTTGTGAACTACCACCAACTTTTAACAAAATGTTTTGTCAAGGTCTTAACTGTGTGTCAACATCATACTTAATAATCGACCAACCCTGGCACTTCGGCATAAACTATATACACTACCCTGTCACTGGCCACTTTATTAGATACCTTGTATCTACACTCACTGTCCATTTTATTAGCTCCACTTACCATATAGGTGCTCTTACAGATCGTAGTCCATTTGTTTCTCTGCATGCTTTGTTAGCCCATTCATCAATGGTTAGGTACTATGGTACTATTTGGGTGGTGGATTGTACTCAGCACTGCAGTGCTAATTACATTTTAAGTGTTTTTTGTGATCTAAATGGATCATACACAGCAGTGTTGCTGGAGTTTTCAAACAACTCTATCACTGCTGGACTGAGAAAAATATTCAGGCAGCAGTGTCCTGTGGCCCCAAGCTGACCACTGATTAAGGACTAGAGGATAACAAACACAAACTGTGCAGCAACAGATGAGCTGTCGTCTCTAACTTTAGATCAACAACATGAACCAACAAAGGTGTGTCCAACAGAGTTGACAGTAAGTGGTGTTTAAAAACTCCAGCAATACTGCTGAGTGAGATTCTCCTGTACCAGCACAACACATACTAACATGTCACTACCATATCAGTGTAACTACAGTGCTGAGAATGATCCACCACCCATAGAACACCTGCTCAGTGGGGGTCCTAAGGGGGTTCCAGAAAAATTATGCAAAGAAACAAATGGACTGCAATCGTTAACTGTAGAACTACAAAGTGCTCCTATGATAAATGGACCTGATAACATGGACAAAGAGTGTAGATACCAGGTAGGTGTACAGTGAGACAAAGTGGCCAGTGAGGGCATACTGAAAACCAGATGTGTTTAGTATAGAATTGGGACGAAGAATGAAGTCTATATCTGAAGTCTTTTCATTTGAAGTGTTCACATTACTGTAGGTTTGCTCTTACAAACCCCTAATGGTCCAGGTCAAATCATGTTTGAAGTGGTGCTTATCTCTTACGTCTTCTCAGGTAATGGTATCTGCAGTCTTTTCAGAGTTGTGGTGAAGTATTTGGGAAGTGGGCAGGACACGATGAGGTCAGAGTGACCCTTAACCCCTGGCAAGATAATCTGTCGGACATGGAGGTGGAGAGGGAGGTATCGGGTTTTGCTCTGCTCCAGACCGAGCCTTCGCAGCACGCCTTCCGGCAACTTCTGCAGGCAGAAACATGAGACACACATTTGGTCCTCAAGCGTGACGGTGAAGAGTCACGTCTTAAGAAAACACCACACCCGATGTGAGATGGTCAAGCCCCAAAAGATCATTGGTAGACAGGCCAGGAAGAATATCATCTGAACACTCTTTTTGACAGTCAGGACATGCTGCAGGTTTTGATACGTTTGGGAAATTCACCTCAGAGCCTGGTTTCCAAGATACAGCATCACCAAAATCTTAGGGAGTGCTGAAAGTTGTACAGCCAGCTTAAAGGGCCCATATCCTCTGGATTTATTGTATCCCCTGAGATGTTATGCACCAAAAACAGTAATATTTTTATGTCCATTTTCCAAATTGTTTATTCCTTAGAAATAAACAGGTTGTTTTTGTTGTGCACTGTAACTCTTGTAGACCAAATACGTGGATATCTAATTGTGCAGGTTTTCAATACATCCCAAAACTAATTAATTTATTATAGGCTGTTTTTGCAGCTTAGTTTCCATATATGGTTGGTATAGACAGAGGAGTGACAAGAACATTTTTAGAAAATGACAGTTTACATATTACAACTTGCTGAATTACAAAAAAAGTCAATTTATTTCCATGATATGGGCTCTTTAAGATCATCTTAAAGTAATCATCTTTAGTAAACAGGGCCCAGAATAAAGCTATACTTGGATGCAAATGTGTCAGAATCTTAAACATTAAAAAAATATTATCATCGCCATTCCCCCCATATTCCGCCATAACCAGTACTCTGTCATGTGATGTTTTATGTGTTCCAGACTAAAGTTTTAGGTAAAACTGTTTTGCAGATTCAGTCTGTTTGTCTAAAATCCAAAGTCTTGAATGTCAGAGGTTTGTTTACAGTTACATACCTGGGGAGCCAGCTTGTTCCAGTGAGCATACTTATGATCTCCCAGAATAGGGCAGGCTAGAGCCAGTGCCATGTGTACCCGCAGCTGGTGTTTCACTTCTAAAACAGATATACAACATATGCTGAGTTGCCAGTTTATTTGGTGCACCTTCTTAGTATCTTCACTCACTGACATTTTATTAGGTACCATACAATGCATTTTTATTACAGACTACAGCCCAACTTTTGTTGCACAATTTATCAGCCCTCCTTTATCCCACCACATAGACCTTCACTGATGAAATATTTGGCTGAGGGACCATTTTGAGTACTGCAGTAGCAGTAACATGGTAGTGTGGTGCCCTAGTCCATGTATATCAGGCACAGTGGTGTTGCTGGTGTTTTATTACATTATTACCACTAATAGGTTGAGAATAGGCCACTAACCAAAAATATTCAGCCCACAGTGGTGTCAGGTCAGATTTCACAGCAGTTTTTCAGACCAAGTCATATGTCTTCATGTTTTAAAGTCACAAACACAAAGAAGCTCCGGCTCTGTGTTTAGGTCTTAAATGCAAAACCAACATTATACTTATTTGTTTGACTAATCTTAATGTAAACAAGGCTGAATCTGATCTGCTATTCTTAGATGCTGAGTAAATACAGGCGGTTAAGTACAAATGGTTATTTCAAGGCAGTACCTGTAACTGGCTGGAGCTCAACCAAGCTGCAGCCTGAACTGCTGTCCAGGACTCTGTACTGTGTAACAGCACTATGGGCTTGGCGATGGGCCCTCACTCTGGTCAATCCATCGCCCTCCTCAGTTAGTCTGTAGAGTGGACTTAGACCCATCTGAGAAAAAATAATCAACATACATTTACAATGGAGGACAGAGCGTGAGAAGTCATTCGTTCTTGTCACAAAATACCAACATTAACAAGCCCTAAAGTAAATTCTGAAAAGTTTACTGGCTTTTTCTAGTAAACACTGCCAAACACTAAACTAATATACACCGTATGTTCAAAGGTATCCAGACAACCCATATTCAGCCGACACAGGTGTTCAAATGCACAAACAACTTGTATAATCTCCTTAGAAAATGCCAATAGAATGGGATGCTCTGGAGCAGCTGTAGAGCATTAGGTCACCATGCCTAATGCCAAGTGTCTGCCAGAGGAGAATAAATGTCCCCAGCACTGGGCTGAGGAGCAGTGGATCTGCGCTATCTGGAGTGATGAAGCACCATCCAATACATTTGGGATGAGCTGATGTGATGTTTGTGATGCAAAACTAATCATCCAACATCAGTACCAGACCTCACAAATATTCTTTGTGGCTGAATGCTATCAAATCCTCACAGCAATGTTCCTATATCTAATCTAAAGCCTTCCCAGAAAAGCAGAGGCTATTACTGCAGCAAATGGGGACAAACTCAACATTAATACTCTTGATTTCAGAAGAAATGTTAGATAAGTAGGTGCCTCTAAACTTTTGGACATACAGCGTATCTGATGTCTTACTGAAGTCTTTATCTAGTGTTTTTCCAAAAAGCATTCTTGTTAAATCAGCACAGACGATATAACTCAGTTCAGGCTTAGGCCTAGAGACAGGTCTCTCGTAAACCAGCTTTAACATCTGGTCACCTTAAAATGATGCTGGGTCCCTGTGACCTCCTTCTCAATGATGGGGATGTCAATCACTCCCTCAGAAGGAACAGGAACGCCTACAGTGACCACCCTGCGTAGTAGGAAACAGATTATTATTATTATGCATCCTTTGGACCACTGATCTTAATCCAGCCCTACACAATGTTTCTAACTGGGTTTTGTTTTGTAATTACTTACATGTATTTCCTCTCCATCTGATGCAATTTGATTTGACTCTGTACTCGTTCAAATGCCTCTTCTGTCTTGGCCAGGAGCAGCACTCCAGTGGAGTCTTTCCCCAGACTGTGACAAATGTGCAACTGAGATCCTCCCTGCATGTTGCTAATGATTTTAGCCAAGACTGGCAGGCTCTCTGCAATGCTGTTTCTGATGCCTCCAGTATCTGTAGGAATAACCGATGATTATGCACTGTAGTGAACGGTACCTTCTCAATACCTGACACCCCTCCCCCAATCAGCGGCTATGTTTACATGCAAAAATTTTCACCAATTCTATTAAATTCATTCAAATTATAGATTACCAATGAGGTGTTTATATGCATACTTTACTCAACAATCTGATGAAAATCTCCATTTACATGCACACTACGAGCAATCAGACCTAAAATTACATGCATGCGTAGAGTATCACTTAGTGTAGATGTAACCCTAACAGGCATTACATGAGTCCAGTCAGAGTGAGACGAGCAGCAGTATGTTACCTGCATTTTTTTTGCTATTTTTAAGTCTTTAAAAGTTTGTAGCATAAACTTCGTCTCCTCTGCAGACCAGTTTATGTTTTGAACATTACAAACTTCTGTTATGACGCAAACGCACATGCACAGATCGTACTTAAACTTTCTAATTTGGAATGTAATCAGATACAGATGTTTACATGGCTATTGTTTTTCTACTTAATAGCTTATTTACAGGATTACCCACCTTGTTCGATTGCATAGAAATTGTATTCAGAATAACCTCAATCAGACTTGAGGTGTATACATGGAAGTACTGTATTCCAGCTGAACTATTAGTTGTATTACTAATGGATTATCAGGATGCATGTAATACTTTTACACTACATGTAGTCTCTATTTTTTGGGAACGCTTCATACTAGATAATTGACTGCATTAAGCCACAAGAGCATTAGTCAAGTAATGATGCTGGATGATTACTTCTGGTTCACAAACAGCACTCCAACTCAGTTATTGGTGGTGCTTCATCACTCTAGAGACTGCAGTTCCATTGCTTCACAGCCCAATGCTGGGAACATTATAGCCCTTCAGCTGATGCTTATCAATATGTGTCTAGACACTTGTACATACAGTGAATCTTTAATCAGATATGCAGTTCCTGCCAAGGACTTACTGTAAACAGGCACTCCATATGGCTTGTTTATGGCAATCAGGTGTTGGTCTTGGTATAAAATACTCCTATAAAGTGCTTTTGCAAAAACATTTGGATGGACAGACTGTAGCTGCTGTGTGAACTGCTTCAGTTCTGAAACTCTTCTCTGCACAGGAGACACTGGAACCTTTGGAAGACAAAACAGGGAAGAAGGAACACATAGTTGGTGGGACAAAAAAATAATGGCAGAGCCAGTTTACGGGGAAGCCTGGCCACTTCCTATTTCACACGTTATATCAACAATATGACTGCTCAATGCCTTAGGGGGCTCGCAAGCAAGTCCTAAACGAAAGGGAGTGAAAGGAGCTAAACAGCTAAAAATGAAAAGTTAAAACAGTTTTTTACCATCTGTCCTAAACCTTTCTTTAATTTTGGAAAGCAGGAAAATCTATTTCACTAAAAAAGCAAAGAAAACTCGGTATGGTTCCTTTTTTTCTACAGCAAATGGGTTTCAGGCAATAGAACGCTAGTATTATAACTACTGAGCGCTGATTGGTTGGTGTTACTGCTACTGAGTGCTGATTGGTTAGCGAGCGAAGCAGCTCATTGGCTGAGTGAACGTACATGAGGCGCTATAATAAAGTCCTACAACTGGAGTTCAAAAGCGCTTAGAAATATAACAGCGCTGCTAAAATGTTTTAAGCTGTTCTGCGTTCAAGAAATAATTATATTCTTCCTTATAAAATATTTGAAGCATTTACGAACTATGATTTTGCTCAAATGCTCTACATTAACTCATTGATTTTGGGCTCATTCGGGAGCGCCATCTAGTGTTTGAAAACCCGGACGACATTACTGAGTGGCACGTTCTCTGATATTGGAGTCTGGCGTGAAGTGTGTTGTGCAAATTTAAGGTTTAATGTTACCAACCTCTGCTGTCTGTTCCTCTTTTTCACGCCGAAGCCTTTCCGCGATATCTGCAGCTCTCGGCCGCCTTGTCCTCCTGGCAGTGGAGTCCGGCTCTGAGACGGAGCTGTGTTCTCCGTATTCTCTACCACTCAACAGGAAACATGGTGCTCGTGTTTTCACCGCGGCGTCCTGACGGAACCATCGACTTATCCACATATTCACGAACTTTATTCTGCTCATTTTACATATCTGACCCCGAGAAAAATACCTAGAACAAAGACATATTTATAACGACGTCTCCACAGGGTCGTGTTAGGGCCTCAGAGACTACAGCAAACAACGTGTTATTGGTTTTCAAAATAAAAGTCTCAACGAACGCAGCATATCAGAAACTGAGAAACATGTCAGAGTGGACGAGTGAATTTTTCCAGTAGAAAAAAAAATATTTTAAGGCAAAATGGCTAAATTAATTGTATATGAAAGGTGTCAGCTGTGCAAGATATTTTGCTCTCTCTCTCTCGTGTGAAAAGTACAGAGAAGCTATACATAAGATAATCCTCCTGAATGATAGCTTTTTTAGGCTAAATTTGCAACTGTTTTATAATTTTTCAACGTTCCCTTCTGCTCTATGTTGTATAGTTTATATGTTTTCTACTGCACTGATATCCACTAAAAAGGAATATGATCTCTTTGTTCAACCCTGTTACTTGCTTCAGCCCTGTGACCCAGTCATTTATGGTGAAAATAACTTATATGGTATCTGATGTGGCAGCCTGAGGTGGAAGTTTAAACACCTATTTTGATTAACTGTCAAAAGCACCAAAGAAAAAAGCCAAATTTTAAATCATTTTGAGGCATAAAATGAACTCTGTTCACAGACAGTGCCATAAGCACTTGTTAAGACCACAAGTGTGCAGATAAGTGTTGTGTCTTTGTGGGACAGGCAGCTGTGGAGGTTCCTGTGATTTGTGTTTCTTTCCAATATTTCAGAAACGATTAAGAATGTCACTAAGGTGTTGGAATGTGGGGCATATATTTAGCCCAATACTGCTTCATGTGGTCTTGCACACTGCGCTTTTGTAAATTTGATAAATAGGACACACTTTAATCCTAACCAGAAAGCACATTGAACATCCACACAAGTGCACAAAACAGCAAGCGTGAACTTTGGGACAGGGTCTCTGTTTCTCTTTCTCTCTCTCTCTCTCTCTCTCTCTCTCTCTCTCCCTCTCTCTCTCTCTCTCTCTCACTCTCTCTCTCTCTTTCTCTCTTTCTCTCTCACTCTCTGTATGTGTGTGTCTGTCTCTCTGTCTGTGTCATGTGTGGGAGAGAAATACGTATCTAAAGCTGATGTTGAATAATGGATAACACCTGGCCTAGTACTCTCAGCAGAGTGAATTATACATGAAGCCATCACCAGTAACCATACAAGGACATACGTCCCTCTTTCTGCCTCACACAAACACACACACCCATCAACAAACACTTCTGCCTCACACACACACCTATCACCAAACATTTCTGCCTCACACACACACACCTATCACCAAACATTTCTGCCTCACACACACACCTATCACCAAACACTTCTGCCTCACACACACACACCTATCACCAAACACTAAACAACAATACCTTTGTTTGTTTTTTATCTTTTATACTTTTGTTTGGAGCCCAAGAGCTCATCTTAAAGTCAACCTGATATCAAAATTATATAAATCATTAAAAATATAATGTAAAAGGCAAAATTCCAGTTTTCCTGTAATCTTCCATTAAATGTAATGATTTTTGCCTGCATATAAACCATCCTCTGTTTTTTGGCTACATCACTATGCACCAGCAGAAGGGGAAAAAACAATTATAAGCAATAATATCATGTTTCACCTGACTCTCCCACTACCCTCCACCCATCATCCAGGGAAAATGCTCAGCTATCACCAATACTGTGTTTCAGTCAAAAATATGTCATAGTATGAAAGGTAAGTACATTGTAAAATGTATATCTATAAATAAAATGGACAAAGAATACTAAACCTGCCAAACATCTTTGGTTCAGTGTTTCTACTCTGAAATATTGGCCTTTTCAATAATCCAAGGGATATTTAAAACAAGTCTTGCATAAATTGTAGGTTCAGGCATAGGTTAATATAGGTTAATGTATAAAGTCAGAATGTCTGGTTTATTTAATGTTTTCTTATTTATTTACTTACTTATTTAGTGTTTACACCAATAATTTGCCTTTTGGGTTCTAGAAAATAAGTCATCTGGCTGAATGAAGCGGCTCAGAGTAGGAGTGATGATCTAGGATCAGATTCCTCTCTTATTTACTAATACTCTACTGACAGCAACAGGTCCTAGATCAGCACTTCTCTGAGAACCTTCATGAACAAGGTTTCTAAACCTAGAGATAATCTGTGCTACCTATGCTTACTTACTTCAGATGCTTCAGATGGCTGGAAAATGTGTTGTATATGGTTCTTTAAAAATCTTTTTGAAAATGGTTCCATATAGCACCAAAAAGGGTTCTTCTATCTTTACAAGCTTGACTTCGTAACAATAGCAGAACCTTTTGGGGGCTATATAGAACCATTTTCAAAAATGTTATATGTAGAACCACATACAAAACATTCTCCATCAATCTGAAGAATAATTTCACCATACAAAGAACCACGTAAGCATGAAATGGTTCTAGATAGAACTCATGTTACTAAAGAAGCCTTGAAGAACCATCTTTTTTTAAGTGTGTATCATTCATCAAAGTGGCAACATGGTGCAAAGGAAAAGAATTAAAGAAAGAAAGAAAATAAAAGGGGACCAAATTTAGATACATGTGGAAGCTCACTGTCATACCAGTGATGCTCTCAACTTGACGGGTTGAACAAGACCTACAGAATAACTATAACTACAGCAAATTTAAGTAGTTGTGCCCAGGATTGCTGGTATAAAGATGTAGAGTCACCTTTTACCAGTCAAACAGTATTTAAACATAACAGCTAATGTCCTTGTTCTGGGGCGCTGATTAAACAGAGACTAATCATCACTACTAAACACACCAAGCACCTTTAGAACATGAAGCAGTTAAAGCTGTGGTGAACTGAACTGAACATCTTGGATGGGGATCAGCCACACACGGAGTGTCACATGTCGCTCCCCAACATGCAGTTGGAATTTGAGCTGGAGGTGACTGGCTCCAGAGGATCGATGTATTCTAGTGATAACATGTCATCACCGTGCACACAAGAAGCTCAAGACAAGCTGAAGATGCTCAAAAAGCCTGCACTGTAGGCCAGTGAATCCATTGTATTTCTGTGGGACTGAGCTTAGTGCTACCATCGGTGCAGCCAGGTCCTTTGACGAGATCTCATCCACCATCACCACCACTGCAGGCCCAAGGATGGCCACTGAAACGTGAAGGATTCCAGATCAGGCCTGCGTATCCGCTGACAGAGGCAATATTAGGATACACATCTTCCTCAGATCGAGTTTCAAACAGGATTCCCCCGGCCTAAGACACTTCAGGGGGGTGTTGATGTGAGTGCTACGGCGGCTGAGCTGGCCCAAAAGGCAGTGGCACTGGACACGACAGGAGGACACAGGGTGGGATACTCAGGACATATCTGGACGCAACAGGAGTGGCAGAGAAACTGTAAGTGATGTCTCATCAGACGGGGATCCATGGTAAGTTTGTTTAACTCTTTTCAGTCAGTTTGAGGTGCAGTTAATGGATTTGTATCATAGAGAGCTGAAATATGTAGAACTCTTGGCCTTTGGAGTATGCTTTCTAATACAGATCTTATCTTCAGTGGATTCATCCAAATAGGCACAGAACCAACACCAACTCCATATGTATTATAAATGAACCTTCCTCACCGGAGTCCATCTGTGAATTTTATACAGCAGGTTTTGCTGTAGCGCACCATGGCCAATGGATTAAAGGGCAAAGTGGAAGTTTTCTTCCTTTTCAATTTACTTCATGGAGAATTTAAAAAATGTCTACATAATTACATTAAGATGTTAAGATGTACACAAAGTAATTTAGAGTGGTTTGATGTGAAATTCTCTGTTCTAGATAAACTTTACAGAGTCAAAATTGTTTACAGTGGTGGTGATAGGAACCAGATGTCTGCCTCCCTCCAAAAGCTGCCTCACAGAAGGCTATTGCATTAAATGATTGCAGATATGCTGAGACATGCCTGAGACATCTTTTGATGTAAGGATTTGGCCTAAAGAATATATTTTTAGTGAAGAGGTACATGTTGGAGGGACAGGTTCACTGGAAAGCAAATAACATGGTTATATTTATGTGAGCCCTGGTTCCTATCACCACTCAAAAATGTCAGAATCTGTAGATTTCTCCACAATTAACCATTTCACATCAAACCAATCTGAAACTTTACATCTCAACCTCTGATTTATGTAGGAATTTAAAATTGGTGAAATTCCCCTTTTAATTCATCCTACTTTGTTGTGAAACTTGTCTCGCCTGAGTGTCATTAGGTTAAAGATAAGAATTAGCTACTCAAAGATCCATAAATGTTCATCACAAAATGTCAATCAACAATCTGTGCTTTAAAATGTGGTTATAAATGAGTATTAATAAAAAACAAAGGTTCGAGTGTGTTTTATGTGAATGGCGAGGCTGTGTAACTGGAGCTCAAGGGCGGAAGAGTTACTCTTTGCGCATCTCACCTGGACCTGCATCATTTATGAAGCCTGACCGGGCCGTTACCATGGTGATACTGGGGCACACGCTGTCCTGGCTCAAAGAAACCTTTAGAAAATTTACTTTTCTCCCCCTCGGTCAAGTTGTTCTTCCATAAGGGAAGGCTTATGGTCAAGCAGACTCCATTATGAATGCTGTTATTTGCCAAACACAGATAGTAGCCAGGCTTAATGACAGCAAAAGATAAGGTTTCTCAAGCTCACATTAGTGTGGCTTATCTGTGAAACAGTCAAGCTCTGTTCCCATTCACATTATAAGGTATCTGCAAGATGTGATTGTTCTTGAATGCCTTTCTAATAATCAGTGTCTGAATTCCTCACTGCTTCCAGATGCTGATTAAGCCAGGAGTGCCCTAGTCCGATCCTGGTGACCCACCTCCCTGAAGAGTTCAGTTTCAACACACCTTGCTGTAATATTAAGAAGCTCCTGAAGGCCTTGATCAGCTGGATCAGATGTGTTACATTAGGGTTGGAGCCAAACTATGCAGGCTGATAGGTCACTAGGACTGGACTTGGGCACCCCTTGAATTCAGCCTTGTGTTTCATTAAACTACACTGTCAGCAGCCATTCACCACAATGCAACTAAACTAGAAATCCTATGACATTTTCTCTTTGAAATCTAGCAACTGCAGATT